GTGGTCTTTGATCTTCATTGGTATTTAAGTCTTTTTCACTTCCAGCAAGTAAGGTTGTATTATTTGCATATCGCAGGTAGTTAATGAGTCTTCCTTCAATCCTGATAACATGGTGTTCTTCATATGATCCAGTTTTTCAGATTATTTGCTCACCATACAGATTAAATAAATATGATGAAAGAATACAACCCTGGTATACATCTTTCCTAATTTAAACTATTCACTGTTGCCTTTAATTTATTCAGCTGCCTCTTGGCACTTGAGCACAATTCAGTGTTCTGGAATACACATTCTTGGCAATGTTGTCCATAGTATGTCATGATCCATAAGTCAAAAGCCTTTGCATAGTAAATAAAATACAATTAAACATCTTTCTGGTATTCTCTGCTTTCAGCCAAGATCTCTCTGAAATCAGTAGTGATATTCCTATTTCCATGTTCTCTTCTGTATCTGGCTTGAACTTCTGGCAAGTCCCTGTCAACGTATTGTTACAGCTGTTTTTGAATTATCTTCAGTAAATTTTACTTGCATGTGATATTAATGATATTGTTCAATAATTTCCTCATCTCTTTTTGGAATGGGAACAAATATGGATCTCTTCCAATCAGTTGGCCAGGTAGCTATCTTCCAAATTTCTTGGCACAGATGAGTGAGTGTCTCCAGTGCTGCATCAGATTCTTGAAAGATTTCAGTTTGTATTCCATCAATTCTTGGAACCTTTTTGGAGTAAGTTTGGACTTCCTCTAGTGCAGCTTGGACTTCTTCCTTCAGTACCATCAGTTCTTGATCATATGCTAGCTCTTGAAAGAGTTGAACATCAACTATTTCCTTTTGTTACAGTGACCCTGTATATTCCTTCCATCTCTTTTTTTAAACTTTTTTATTGTGAATTGAGTGACAGTTTGCAGAACAGATAATCAGTCCCACATTAAACAAATCACACACTTCATGCCATTACAATGATTGCAATCATTGTACAATCAGTTAACAGTATTTACTTCTATTCACATAAACTCTTGCATTCCTCCCTGTGTCTTCATCTTTCCTGGGACAACCTCCTTCTTCTTGTATATTGCCCTCCCCATCACTCTTGTTAATATGTGTCTACCCTCTACCCAGGGAATAATTTTCCCTCCCCTCCCACCACTGGTAACCATCATAGGATGTTTCTTTTAGCAATAAAGACTCTCTTTTGTTTTTTCATATGAACTAAAATCTGTTGTCTTTGAGACATTGTGTTGTTGTTTGTATTTGTATTTAATTGATGATTGTATGTTGGTGTGTTATTAGGCTCTCACTAAACTGTCTCCTGGCAGGTGTGATTAGAAAATGGAAACGTGTGTACCATTTTCTGTTCACCGTTAGTGCAGCTCGGATTAGAAATGGTTTGGCTGGTGCTGACTGGTGTCTATCAGTGATCAGGTGATACAGGAGCTGGTACTGACTTTTGTCCAGTGGGTGAAGCTGAAGAAGGTATGGTTGTGACTGAGCTGTATGGGCATGGTTGCTGTCTCCCATTGGATGGGGCAAGAGGAGAAAACACCCAGGAAAACTAAACAGGACAAACAAACAACAGTAAAACCAGAATATAATAAAGAATAAAAAAAGAAACAAAAATGGACAGCAACAAGAAAAAAAGAATATAACTAAAAAGATAAAAGAGGAACAGGAAAATAGATCTGTACAAGAAAAACCAGAAGAGAAAAATAAAAGGAGGGAAAAAACAACAACACTGAAAAAATACAAAGCAGGAAAATGAAAAGAAAGAGAGACTTGAGATTAGTGAAGGAAAAAACCCAAGAGGGTGGAAATGAGAAACAGAAGAAAAGAAGTAACAAAAGCAGAGCTAGAAAGGATAACAATCAAGATAAAGAAAGGAGGAGAAAAAAGAACAAACAAAAACAATGAAACAATGACAGGAAAAAATAAGTAAAACAAAGAAACAATGCAGTTGTTGGACCCAGACAGGAGAAAAGTCTGCAGGGCTCTTGCCAGCCAATGAGCTCAAGAGGTTGAGAGATGTGACAGCTGAGTTCCCAACTCTAGATGCTGTTCTGATAGGCCCAGGTGTTGTCGCTGTTCAGGGCATCCAATCAGGAAGTAGTACATGGAGACCCTTCGGGTTGCTAGTTTCAGTGTATGTCTGAACCAGAGGGCAGCTATGAGCAATGATGGCTGATTGGGAAGGTTCTTGCTAGTCTAATTTTGGCCTGGAGGTTTTGTGGGTTCTGTAGCTCTGAAGCAGAGCCCGCCTGAATCCAGGTGCCAGGCCAGCACATAGGGCACACACACCACATCCACTCAAACCTGATGACTCTAGACTCCTGGAGAGCAAGGTCTGGAATAGGGGCAGATGAGGGTGGGGGCAGGCTTCACCTCTGTTATCCAGGGGAGTGTGGAGAACAAGAAGGGAGTCCACCTTTTCCACTGCAGGGGGTGAATCTACACTCTCAGGTTGTCATCTGTCTCTCCAAAGCTGCTTGCAAAGTTCAAGATGGCCACACAATGTCTGGCGACAGTTCACTAGTCAGTCTCCTTTTGCTGTCCCTGCTTAGGTTCTCCTCCCAGTATTCAATCCACTTCTCTAAAACCATTCCTCTGAAAATCAGGCTTCTAGGATTTTCCTTCTGTGTCCATTTCATTTGGTCTCCTGTATGTTTGTTGTGTTGTTGTTAAATGCCATTGAATTGGTGCTAACCCATAGTGATCCTGTACAGGGTTTCCAAGGAGTGTGGCTGGTGAGCTTGAACCACCAACCTTGCAGTTCAAATCAACTTTTCAGTCCATCACATTAACCCACAGTACCACACCAGACTCCATTTTTGCTGTAGTGTTTGTATAGTGTCTGTCTTGTCCACCGTCTTGCTGTAAGCCAGCAATAAAGCCCATCTTCTTTTGATAAATTCTACGTCATTCAATATTTTGCCCAAAGAATCGCTCAATGTTACAAGTTGAGGTTTAAACATTTTTTCAGTTTGAGAAATACTGTGTTCTTCCCTTTGGTTTTCTAACTCCAGGTCTTTGCGCATTTCATTTTAATACTTAACTCTATCTTCTCTGTTGTCCTGTGAAATATTCTATTTCACTCCTTTACTTCATTTCTTCCATTTGTTTTGGCTTTTCTCCACTCAAGAGAAAGTTTGAGAGTCTTCTGATATCCATTTTTGTTCTTTCTTTCTTTCTGTTCTTCATGTATAATGTTCTTGATGTCGTCCCACAACTCTTCTGGTCTTGGGTCATTAATGTCTAATGCATCAATGGTTTGGCAGTTAAGGGGTCCCCCATGATGAGACCTACTGTGATAAACCAATAAACAGATAAAGGATAAGCTGCAATACCTTTAATCCCATCACAATCCTGATCAGATGTAAGGAAGTTTCCCAGGAGTGTGGTGTACAACACCTTTTATCTTATAAGTGAGAGAGGAGTGAGCAGGGAACGAGGGACCTATTACCACCAAGAAAGAAAGGCTGAGAGTAGAGTGCCTTCTTTGGGCCTGGGGTCTCTGTACTGTGAAGCTCCTAGACCCAGGATTCGATTGATACATGGAAAACTCCAAGGAATACGAGGCCTACAGATGTTGAAAGGAGACAAGAACCGTCTTCTAAAGATGGTGCTCTGAATTGAGATGTCTAGCCTCCTAAACTGTGAGAGAATAAGTTTGTATTTGTTGCAGCCACCCATTTATGGTATTGTTGTTATAGCAACACTAGACAGCTAAGACAAACACTAAGGCATACCTGGCCCAAACAATGGTATTTTCAGTCACATGTGTGTGTGAAACCTGGACAATGAAAAAGAAACACCAGAGAAGAATTTGATGCCTTCGAATTATGCTGTTGGTGAAGAAAGCTGGATTGACCACGGACTGCCAGAAGAATGACCAAATTTGTGTTGGAAGAAGTACAACCAGAATGTTCCTTAGAAGGGAAGATGGCAAAAACACAAAAAAATTAAAATAAAAAAATGAAAGATGGGAAGACTTCATGTAATATACTTTGGATATGTTACCAGGGGACAAGTCCCTAGAGATGGACATCATGCTGGAAAAAATAGAATCCGTGACAAGAGGAAGACCCTCAGTGAGATGGATTAACAATGCTCCCAGACATAGCAATGGCTGAGAGGATGGTGTAGAAGCAGGCACAGGGATACTATTCATCAACGTAGAGTCAGCAGCATCAAACAACAAATCATTATTGTGCTCTTCCAAGACGGTTGGTTCAAGCAATATAGGTCACTGTGAAATTGAAAGTTTTTAACTTACAGAATGACTGAATCAAGTTGGGGTAGGACTTTGCATCATCTAGAATCCAGTAGATAATCCATCCAGGGGGTGTGATCTGTAGTTTACAAGGCATTTTCATTGGCTTTCTTTTATTTGGTCAATCCTTAGCTCCAAAGATGAGGCTATAGATCCACTTGTATGATTTATGTAACCTCACATCTGTCTGTAGTACTGACGAGATGGAAGAGAGGTGGTCCTAGACTGGAATCCCAATTCCATTTTGACCTTGGGCAGTTACTTCAGTTGTTTGTGCTTCCATTTCCTCATTGGTGAGGAGTATACTTATCCACTGGCTAGAGGGTAGATACATGTTAATTTGGGTGAAGGGATAGGCAATATGCAAGGTTGGTAGAGGAAAGATGAAAATAGCAGGAGACACTGAAGAATGCAAGAGTTAAAGTGAATAAATAGAGGTAAATACTGCTAACTGATGGTACATGGAGGGGACTGCAATCATTGTAAAGAAATGAAGTGTATGATTTGTTAAATGTGAGACTTATGATCTGCTCTGTAAATCTTTAGTCAATTCATAAAAAAATGGTTTTCAAATAATCATAGAAACCTTTATTAAATAAAAATATTAAAAAATCACAGAAATAAAAATGAAAAAAATTGCCAATACCTGATTTCTGTCCCCTGTTTTTCCATTTGTAATCATATACTTAGGTACCTTTTGACCCCATGGGGGGGAAAAAAAATCTAACATTCAGAACTACCAATAACAGGAAGAAGAGAATTTTTTTTTCTTTTTTTTTAAGAATGAAATGTTTCTCATTATAGTGGATTCTCCACATATGCGACGTACTAGCTGGACGTCTTTTGGCATAATTGTTACACGTTTGGCATGGATAGCACACAAGTTGGTGTCTTCAAAAAGGCCAACCAGATAGGCCTCACTTGCCTCCTGGAAGCACAGATCTGTTTTGAAGTCTTGAGCTATTTCTCGCATCAGAAGCTGGAAGGGTAGTTTATGAATCAGAAGGCCGGTGGACTTCTGATAACGTCTAATTTCACGAAGTGCCACAGTACCAGACCTGTAACCATGAGGTTTCTTCCCCCCTCCAGTAGAAGGCACACTCTTACAAGCGGCTTTTGTAGCCAGTTGCTTCCAGGGTGCTTTCCCACTGGTTGATTTGAGGGCTGTCTTCTTTGTACGAGCCATGGTATAGAGACCTCCTTACTTAACACCCCTTCTCCTTCAGCTGGAGCTCAGCGAGCTAGAGGCGGTGCTGGCGTTAGTGAGCGATGTCTGTCTGTTCTTCT